AATATATCTGATAAAGGGACACTGCAAACCCAAATGTCCTGGGCTGAATGGCACAGTTAGGAATGGGGCCAAGGTCTCTGATCCCCACCAGAGGTCAATGGCTCTATACTCCTGTGAAAATAAAATGGGGCCAAATGCAGTGGCACATACCTATAATCCCAGTACTTTGTGGGGCCAAGGCAGGTGGATCCCTTGAGCCCAGCAGTTAGGGACCAGCTAAAGCAACCAAGTGAGATCTTGTCTCTACAAAAAATTTAAAAATTAGCCAGGTGTGGTGGTGGACTTCTGCAGTCCCAGCTGTGTGAGAGGCTGAGGCTGGAGGACCATCTGAACCTAGGAGGTTGTGGCTGTACTCCAACCTGGGCAATGGAGAGAGAACTTGTCTCAAAAAAAAAAAAAAAAGATATAATGGGTAAAGATGGAAATTCTGACTTCTCTGAAGTTCTTGGATACTGAAGGCCACATGACAGTATTTCCAGGTTCCTTTAGGGAAAAAATTAAGCTGGTGACACCAGGAAGTTTGTGGATGAACTCGGTGACCCATAGTGCTTATCTGCTTGTGGGTGGGGGCCCTTTGGGCCATTTCAGTTGTCAGTCATCATGGTTCCCACCACTGAGTGCTTTACGGTTACTGACATTTTGGTTGCTTGTGGCACAGAACATCATTAGCACTAGAGTGGCTATGACCCCTAACAGCTAAGGATTTGAGCCATAACCATGGGGCAATTGCCTCATACCTATCACCATATCTTGCCACATTTTTACTGATTCATAGGCCATTGCCAACAGCCTAACCATCTGGTCAGGGGAATGGCAACAGTGACTGGACTATTAAAAGATCCCATGTGTGAGGACAAGGACTATGGCAACAGCTTGCTGTTGGAAGGGACTCTATATGCCACTCATGTGGATGCTCTTACTACCACAGCTGCCCTTGAGAGGACTTATGTCATGTTTTTGGATACCCTATGGGATTTCACTCTGACCAAGGAAAATCCTGACTGCCCAAGCAACATGACAGTAGGCACACTATCGTGTAATACCATGGGTTTTCCGTGCACTCTGTCATCCACAGGAGCAATTGAATGATGTAACAGCCAACTCACAAAGCAACTGAATAAAGGACATCAAAACAGCAGAACAGCCTGCTAGTGGGGTGGTACCTCAATCTGACTAGGGCATCATGGATACTAAGCACTGTACTCCAAGGGAAACAGCACTGCACACATCTTGAGAAACACCGAGCTTGGTGTGGATGGAGGTGGACCTGGTAACTGCCTGATTTGGCTGCATCTGTGAAATTCCAATCTCAGTGTTCCCAATCATTCTTTTTTCTTTTTCCATTTAGAGTGCACATCCTATAGGTAGTTTGTAGTTCAGGCTGCCAGAACACCGCAGACAGGGCCCCCTGACTCTAATCTAGAGGTGATACTTCCTCCAGGTGCCTCTCTTCTGTGAAATCCACAGGGATAAAGGACAGGAACAAGGAGTACCAGGGTGTTAGGATTAGCGGCACCAGGAACACCTGATCCTTCCACATAGATGAGTAACCTTATCAGACATGTCCAGTTTGTACAAGACCAATCTCCCTACCTGAACTGATGGACTGAAGCCAAAAAGCCTGGGTCATGCAACAAGGGGAATGGGTAGTCTTGAGACTGCAGCAGTCAGACTGGGACGCTGCACTCAGGCCAGCCTCTATGGGATAGCTGAGGATGCAGGGAATACCCAAGGATGCAGGAAGCCTAAGGGGTGGGGCACTAACCTATCACTCTGCTTTTTCCACAAGGATGTGAAAGTAGAGGCCTGGGCCGGGCACGGTGGCTCAAGCCTGTAATCCCAGCACTTTGGGAGGCCGAGGCGGGTGGATCAC